ACAACATATTCCATGACCCTCTTTGTGCCCTGCCCTTTCCAACTCTTCTTTCCTCCTCACAGTCCCTTTTCTATGTTCCTGTCCCATGGTTTTTAGTTGTTTGTTTGTTTTTTAGGGGAGGGTTTGTCTCTTCAAATAGGTTCTCACTATGTGGCCTCAGCTGTCTACAGCTTGTGATGCAGCACATGGTAGTCTCAGACTCCCTGCCCTTCTGCATCAGCTTTCCAGATGCTGAAATTCCAGGCTGTACCGCCACAGCCTGGCACAGGGTCTTCATTCAGAAATGGCTTTGAAATCTATAATCTTCCTTAACTGTGACAAAGGAGTATGTGGAAAAGACACATAATTTTCATTAGTCACAGTGGGATTCATGAACTAAAAAACAAGAGTAAATGTCCTTTATTCTTTTCAAGTGCGATATATGAATTAGATGACTAAGATAGATACATTTTGTTTAGACAAATCCCTTGGTATTTAACAGTCCTTAAGATTTCTTTGTTTTCTTGCTTTTTTTTTAAACATTTGGTTTTAGCCAAAAAGCCAAAAAATGATTGTTTTTGTTGTTGTAGCCCAAGGTGGCCTTGAACTCAAAGACCCTCCTGCTTCAGCATCTTAAGTGCTATTACAATATGTGTGTACCACCATGTCTAGCTTGCCTTGAATTTTCTTAATCCAATTTATAGTCAGCTGAGATATAAGCTATATTTCTTCTCAACTCTAGCTAACTCTAGTACTTGTATGGTGTCATTAGGCACCTATATCCATGTTTATACTTTAAACCCATAAAAAATATACCTACAGTTTAGAAGCAGCTGATTAATGTCCTAAAGTAAAACTAGTTTGGTAGGAGGCAGAAGCAGTTCTGTGAGTTCAAGACCAACCTGGTCTACAGAGCTAGTTCCAGGACAGCCAGGGTTGCCCTTGTCCCAAAGAGAACCTTGTCCCAAAGAGAACAAAACAACTTTAATTTGTCTCTTATCAAGGTAGCCTTTCAAAACTGATAAATTAAAGGTAGTGCCATCCCCAAATTCCATTATCTATAATTATTCTATCTACCCAAGCTATCTTTAGAAATTCTCAAGTCATATATCCTTTAATATCTAGGAAGAAAAATATGGTATTACAGAAGCCTGAATCTAGGAATTCTCTTCAAAACCCAAGTGATATAGTCAGTAAGTCATACTTTCCAAACTCAAACATTATTTTGTTTTGTCCTATAATTGAATTCCAACTAGCTAAAATATGAAAAAACTAGGCCGAATTTGGAAATGGCTTAGTAATATAAGGGGCAAAACTCTAGGGCTGGATGGATGTCTGTGGTTAAAAGCAATTGCTCTTACTGAGGACAGTAGCTAGAATCCCAGCACCTACATCCAGTGGCTCACAACCACCTCTAATTCCAGCTCCAGGGGATCTACTGCCCTCTCTGTCTTCCACAGTTCCCCCCACCTCAATGTACACACAAATAATTAAACGTTTTCTTTAAAAAATAAGAAATCTTACCAGGTCCTCACTGCTGGCTACCCGTTGATACTGTGAACAGCCTCTTCTCCACAGCGCTGTCATTAAATAGAAATGGCAATGACCCGATTATTTTCATTCACTTAATATCTAACAAAGACTTAATGTCTTAAAAGAGGCTACAAGACTCAAAAGGCACGACACAGTGCGGACACGGGGTGCACACATTTAATCCCAGCAATTGGTAGGCATAGGCAGGTGGATCGCTGAGTTCAAGGCCACCCTGGCCTACACAGAGAGAGTTCCAGGACAGCCAGAGCTACATAACAGTGAGATCCTGTCTCAAAAACAAACAAACAAAAAACCCATTCACTATAAAATAAAGGTTTCATATTCTTCTTACGCAGTGATTGGTTAACGTCCTGTTAGGTTTGGGGGCGCAATGGGACTTAAAACAAGTGATTCCTAAGGCTTTCGATTAAAGGGGATATCTCCTATAAAACCTTCCTTTCCCCCTTTCTACAGTTACCAGCTGGTAATGCAAATGTGTACAGAAGTAACAAAAAGGCACTGCCGTCCCAAAGGGGAAAACAAGAAAAAGATTCAGGTCGTTGACAGAGAAGCATAGAAACGAAAATTAAAAGTAAAGAGTTGACTACACCTCAAAGTCCTCTTCGGCTCTGAGAAACCAGTCTAAGGAGCTTCCCACCCATCTTAAACCTAGTCGTGGAGAAATAGTGCTTTTGCTAACAGCAAAGCCGCCATCGACAATCGGAGGCAGACTGCGGCTGGAGGGCTCTGCCGGGGACTTTACCCGCGTGAGTTCCGCGATCCGCGAGGCCGACTGCCGCGGTTATCCAGCTCTTCCTCCCTACTCCGCTGCACACCGCAACCACAGCGAACATGGTCCTCCGCCCCTCCTCTTCCTTTCCCGTTCCCTAATCGCCCCGACTGGTCCTTTCCTGCACTCTTCCCCCGTGGGCCCGGGGATTCGAAGCAAAGGTTCCGGGTGCGAACGCGGACAGGATTTCAAAGCCTCCGCACGGCACCGTTCTGTCCCCCGGGCCGGAAGTCACGTGACACACCGCCTGTGGCGCGCAGAGATGCAGCGCCGATGCCCGGGCACCTGGAGCACCGGAGCGGCGGTGGCTTGAGTCTGGGCCTCGGGCGGCCCGGCCCCCCGCCCCAGCCATGGAGGACGGCGGGCCCCGCATCCGCCGGCGGGTGTCCGTCCGCAAGAGGAGCCGCGGCAGCCTAGAGAGCCTGCGTGCCGCCGCCGCCGCGGCCGAGCTCCAGCCCGCCGGGGACCCGGAGGACGAAGCGGCGGCCGGGAGCCGCCGGCGGAAAACCGGGAGCCCGGAGCCCGCCCAGGTACAGCCCCGCGGATGCCCCGCGGATGCCCCGCGGATGCCCCGCGGATGCCCCGCAGAGCCGGGTCCCGTCATCACCGAGGGCTGCGGTGCCGACCCGCACAGCTGCGGGGGGTTGAAACGCCCCAGGGGCACACGGCTGACCGGTTAGATGAGTAACCTTCGTGGGCTCTTCTCATCTTGGTTATCCTTGCTCACCACACTTGGGAGACCGCCTTGAGCCTTCCCCCCCCCCCCACACACACACACTTGGGAGACACCGCCTTGAGCCTTCACACACACACCATCCCTCGCATAAAAAGTGTTCGCGGCGCAGTTAACTGGTTTGACAGAAGGCCAGCCTTCAAAATGACTTGTTTCTACTTTACTAATAAAACTTTTTACTGGTGACCTGTGACATGCTGGTTACTTTATTAAACTAGCCATATTATCGAGAATTTACCACAGTAACCGGGCCCTGGGAAGCTGAGAAGCTCAAGCTGTAACTCTAATAAATAATTATTACCTCCCAGTTTACATCTTTTCTGTTCAGTAAGCCACCCCACGAGTGTGCACACTCTTGTCTCAAGTCCAAGTTCAGAACAGAATTTGCTTGTAGTGTCTAGTGGTACAACCATGATTTTGTAACAGGCCAGCCTCTAGGTTAGTGCCTGGGTAGGAATCAGCACAGTTATTAGAAGCATCTATGAACTCACAACCTGATAGGCGGCTACCATTCTTTCGTTCCTTAATGCTTTAGCACAGGTTTAAGAATTAAAATCTCTGGGGCTGAGAGATGGCTCAGTGGTTAAGATGGCTCTGCTCTTCCAGAGGACCTGGCTTCAATTCCCAGCACCCAAATGGTAGCTCACAGCTGACTATAACTCCAGTTCCAGGGGACCCAACACTCACACAGACATGCAAGCAAAGCGTATAAAATTTTTTTTAAAAATTAAAATACCAAATGTTGGGGGTTTGGGCTCACACTTCAGCACCTAAATAAATAATTAAGAAATTCCAATATCAGCCCTTGGGCTGAGCTGGGGATGTAGCTGAGTTGGTAGAATGTTTACCTGGCAAGCACAAAGCCCTGCGCTTGATTCCCAGCACCTCATAAAACCAGGTATGGTGATACACGCAGGAGAAAGAGGCGGGAGGTTCAAGGCGCCATACCTCTGTTATATGAGATCCTTTCCTAGCTAAAAAAAAAATTTAAAGCATCCTGATACCCTATATTCCAGCAGCACTATTTAGGCAGGTCAGTTCAACTCTCTGGGCTTGTTTCTTTTATCTGGTGATGATAATATGTATTCAGAGGATAATTTGCATATAGTGATATGGTTAGTATAGTCCTTTGCTGGGACATTTTTTTATTCTTGATGAAGATGGAATTCATTTATGTGTTTTTGTTTCAGGAAAACGACAGCGAAGAGGACATGTTCAGTGACTATGATAGCTTTGCAGAAAATTCTTTTTTAGCCCAAGTTGATGACCTAGAGCAGAAGTGTATGCAGCCGCCTGAACACAGGACACTTGCTACGGACTCGGCTACCCAAGATGTTTGTTCAGACGGCATCACAAACAAACTCGGCATTTCCGACTCTGAGAATAATAAGTGTATAAAGAACCAGAGTGATCCAGATGTCCCTGCTGGACCTGAACCTGAAAATGAGCTTTTATTTGATGTGCCTTCTTCTCAGATTTTATACTTTGAAAGTATGCAGAACTCTTCAAATGATTTGGGTGGTCAGTGTACTAAGGAAGGAGGCGGGAACTCACATAAATCATCAAATGAAGAACCAGCCTGTAGCCGGAAAGAGCGACCGCAGCAGCAAACTGATGACTTCTCCAAAGTCAGAGCTTCTGCGGAGACCGACAGGAGGAAGAGCATTACGGACCGCCTGAAAAGTGCTATGACTGGGAATGCCACCGCCCAGACCCCAGTGTTTTCTAGGAGCAAGCAACTCAGAGAGACTCTCCTGTCTGATGAAATCAGTGTCGCCAGAAAAGCAATCGAGTCACCGGCTGATGATCTCGGTCCTTTTTATTCTCTCCCGAGCAAAGTGAGAGACCTTTATGCTCAGTTGAAAGGAATCAAAAAACTATATGGTAATACTTTTTATAAAATGGAAGCCAATTTTATAATTCAAATAATACTAGAACATTAATTGGAATCGGTGGAAGCAGGTGGATCCCTGGTTCTGTTTCTTTCTGGAATGACCATAGATGAGTTGTATTCACCCTGCATCCCTATCATGGACTTCTTTCCTTCCTTCCGTCTGGTCCTCCTCAAGCCAGATGTCCTGGCTGTGTCCCCTGCCTAAGTGGTCTTCAGTCCCCTCCCTTCCTGTGCCCTCACTTAAGTTACCTAAGGAATCCAAGCCCAGACATGCTTCCAGAGTGGCCTCGTGTTCTGCTCTTGACCACACCGCTGAGTTTTCATTCCTTCATGCTTGGCCTCTCACTGTTTTCTTCTCTGATTAGTTCTTTTATTGTTTCTTTGGTATTGGCTGCATCTGAATTCTCTAACAATTTAGTTGTTTAAATTCCTTTGACTGCTCAGAATCTTAAGTGAAAGAAATCAGTACTAGCAGTTAAAGTTAAACACACTTAAGGACAGCTAAGATTTAATTGCAAAAAGACTGCAGTAATCGTAATTATGCAGTGTTTTTCAAAAGTCCTGGGTCCTTGCATATATTTCAGATATACCATTTTAGACAGGGACAGCAGGAGCCATATAGGAGGTCAGTCCATCCAGCATCACTGCGTAAATATTTCTGGAGAACGAATGAACTTTTGAAACGTGGATTGTCAACTCAGAAGACAATCGGGTTGGGGAAGTAGAATGACAGGAAAATAAAGTCTGACATCAGACTATAAGAATCAGCCATTGTGGAGGGCTCCTAGCTAAGAGTCCTTGATTCCCTCAGGACTGGGATCTGGTTCCCAGCACCCACATGGTGGCTTACAGCTGTCTCTAACTCCAGGTTCAGGGGATCTGAGGTGCTCTTCAGACCTCTCTGGGGCTAGACATGCACTCCTACACATAAAACAGAAGAGCCCAAAAAATTGTAAGTTGTGAGACCCATGGCTCACGAGCTAACAGTGCTGGGTGTAGTGTGCACTCACCCCTGCAGCCCTCCCCTCAAGAGGGGGAGGTCAGGACATCAGGTCATTCCCAGCTACACAGCAAGTTCAAGGCCAGCCTGGGCCCTACGAGGACCGTCTCAGCAAAAACCCAACTCCTAAGATACACGTTAGCTTTCTTGCCTCTGCCCTTCTGCTGGCTACTTTGCTCAGTCCGAACTGCTGCCAAGGGACTCCCCTGAGGGCAGGCTTCTCGGGCCCTGCTTTTTTTGTTTTGCTTTTGAGCTGTGTAGGCATTTTGTGGTATTAGAGACTGAACCCGTGACATTGAACGTGATAGACAAATTCTCTGCCTCTGAACTACATTCCCAGCCTTCATGTTTTGAGACAGAATCTCAGGTAGCACAGCCTTGCCTCAAACTCATGATCCTTCCGCATCTGCCTCCCAAGTACTGGACGTATGGGATGTAGCACAGTGCGTAGGCAGGACTTGGACTCAGTGTTTTATGTAACTAGCTTTTCCCTGGTACATTGGGCTTTAGAGAATTCCCAACTGCTGGTTTGTCGGCCTCTTGAACTGGCCTTGTTCCTTAAACAGTGCCTTATCTATCAAAAAAACAGGATACGGCAAAACAATGGTTTTACCGTGTAGTTAGATTCTTTGCCAAATACACATAAATTATTTGTAATGACATTATGTTGGTAATGTCTAAAAGCCTCAGTAAATCGCTGTGTGTGAGTGCAAGTGTGCACATCATGTATGGTGTGTGCGTGTGTGTAAAATGAATATAGTTAAGTTTGTGTATAAACTTCTGTAGTTTGATAACTGGTGGGTGATACCAATCTGAGGTACATTATGTACATTTTAAATATTTTGGTTTATTTATGACCTGGAGATCAAACCTAAGGCCTTACACATTAAGCACTCCCTCTGCTACTAAGCCAAACCCGTCAGCTTAATATTTTCTAAATATTTTTAAAGAAAAAAAGTCATTATAAGTACTTGAGAATCACTAAACAATAAGGTTGTTTGTATCTGTTATTCGGTCATAACTGTTGTAATGCCTTGAGGTGAGGCCTCACTGTGTAGCCCTGGCTGTCTTGGAGCTCTGTTTTGACCAGGCTGACCTCAAATCCACTGCAGCCTGCCTGCCCTGCCTCCTAGGGGTTAGAGATGTGAACCACCGCACTCTGCTTCACTTTAATTCGTGAAACAATGCATTCAAGCCCTTTAAGTTTGGGATGGGTTTTTCTTAAACCGTATATCAGGTGTGTAAATAGTTTTTAACTTTTTTCCACTTGTGTGTTTTGTATACTTGGATGTGTATTGATGTAGACACGTGTGCCATGGCATGCGTCTGGAGGTCAGAGGACAGCTTGTGGGATTTGGTCCTCTCCTTTCATTGTGGGGGTCCTTGGGGTCAAACTTGGGTTGTCAGGCTTGGCAACAAACGGCTTTGCCCACTGAACCATCTCGCGGGCCTAGTTCCTATGTTTAAGCTGTGAATGACGTACTTGGAATAACTCATTTAGCTTACCCCACCCCACCCCATAGTACTTGTTAGACAGTGATGCAATGAACATCCAGTGCAGACTGTTCACACCCTCTTACTGGGTCGGTGGAGAATCCTGGAAGAATGCTGATGAAGTCAACGTGCGGTCTTACGTTTTGTGATGCTGCGTCACTTTTCTCACACACTGTCCAGTGGCGACTTCTCTCTGTGCTCGCTGGGTTTTATGACTGGGATTTTTTTCCCTTCCTGTTTGGCCCATCCTGTAGATTACAGTTGAGCTTCTTATTTATTTATTATATATTTATTTATTATTACTTTGTTTGCCTGTTCCTCTAATGATAAAAAGATGGTTCAACAGTAAAGAACACTCACTGACTGCTCTTCCAGGGGACCCAGGTCCAAGTCCCAGCACCAGGATATATATATTGCACAGGCGTGCACGCCTGTGTGTGTGTGTGTGTGTGTGTGCAGGCTAAACATCCACTCACAAAAAATACTAGTATGCATTTTGAAGATTGTTGATGTACATTTTCACATTACTTACTTCCATTATTATCATTTTATCCAGGGCCTCGTGGAATGCAGGCTAGCTGTGTAGTTGAGGATAAACTTGAACTTCTGATCTTCCTGTCTCCACTGCTCATGTGCTAGGATTACAGGCATGAGCCACCAGACCCCTTTTATGGGTGCTGGGGATCACCCTAGGCTTCATACATGCTAGGTGAGCTCTACCAACTGAACTGCATCCTCAACCTCTAAATTCTTCAGAGCACTAGTTTTCATGTAATGTTCTGCTTTCATCAATTATTTCTTACTAAATTGGGGGTGGGAAGACCCTGGTTGTATCTGTTAGTAACTGAAGCCTTTTATGATTTAAATAGTCCTTATTTAAAATGGTATTTGGACCATTCAAAGATCAAGTCCATAAGAGAGCTAACTGAAGGTTTTTCTGGCTAGTGCAACATCTTGTGTACTTTCTTTTCTTCCTCAGTTTCTACCTGAGAGGCTCTTGGGTAGGTAGGTGAGGGAGGTAAGCCTAAATGATCTTGTAGAACATAGGACGATTTTAGGATGAACACAGGTCCTTAGACCTCCTTCTCTGTACATATTGGCCCCTTGTCCCCAGGCAGCTGTCTGCTCTGCTGGAACGACACCTGTATCTGTCACGATTGTAGGGGCGAGCCAGTTGCCCACCTGCTGACAAGGGCTGAGCTGAGACCTGGCTATGCACATCCAGGATTGGGGCGTTTACCACCTGTAAGAATTACAGTGATCCTCATGAAGACTGCCACGCTGAGATCCCCGATTTCTTCTCACAAAAGCTCCTGAGAATACTGAAGGGGGAAATAATCTCTGCTGTTTTTCTTTAAATTCTACAGACTGGCAGCATACTTGTTTAACATTAAGTTCTGTGCAAGAAAGAAAAAATTTAATATATTCCTTGCCGACGAGTGGTGGGAAAACCCTTGTGGCTGAGATTTTAATGCTACAAGAACTGCTCTGCCGACAGAAAGATGTCTTAATGATTCTTCCATATGTGGCCATTGTCCAAGAAAAGGTGTGTGCATGCAAACAGCTGCTGCTTTCTAATAGAACGTCTTAAGATCTAAAATCAGCACGAATGTGTAATTGTTAACTGAGTCATTATTTGTTTGGATTACAGAAGTAGCACAGGGCACTTAGTTACTCTCAAATAGTAATTGCATGTAGTTTTTCTACTAAATTGGTGGTTTAAACTATATCTTAAATGCTCCATCAATATTTAGCCTGCTTTTTCAAGTAGAAACTAACTCATTACCTTATCAGAATAAATGAGTCAATTAGATGTTTTTTTTATATATATAAAAGGAGATAGGTAAAATTTATTTTCACATTATATACTTTAGAAGTTATACATATCAGGGCTGGAGAGAGTGTGAAAAGCCCTGGATACTCTTGCCGAGGACCTGGGTTTAATTCCCAGCACCCACATGGTGGCTCACAACATCTGTAACTCATCCCAGGGCATGCGTCACCCCCTTTGGCTTCTGGCAGTGCGTGCACATAGAGCACAGATACCGATGGACAGAACGCCCATGCACGTATAATAATTTAAGAGTTACCTGTGTTTATTTTGTAAAGATCATCACCTTATTTTTGCAGCAGTTCCTAGATAGGCGTTCCTAGATTGCACCCACCGATGGGGACCATTTTACATTAAGGGAATCCCTCTGAGAACTTTAACGCCATCTCCTATTTGTGTTTTTGTTTATTTAACTGCGACTCTAGATTTCCAGTTTATCAAGTTTTGGTATAGAACTTGGTTTCTTTGTTGAAGAATATGCTGGAAGCAAAGGAAGATTTCCTCCCACTAAAAGGAGGGAAAAGAAATCGCTGTATATCGCCACTATTGAGAAAGGGCATAGCCTGGTGAACGCCTTGATCGAAGCCGGAAGGATCAGCACGCTGGGTCTGGTTGTCGTTGATGAGGTTGGTCAACATCATGTTTATTTTACTAGCATACTGTGCTCATTTCCCAAGCCACGGTTTGGATCCTCTCGGTAACTAAATTAATATGCAGAGAACACAAGAGACGTTCCATGCCAGACAACCTTAAATTTGGCAAATGTTTCTTGAACTGTGAATGTGGGTATACAGAGACATTGTATAATGGTACTTATCAAATCCCAAATGTGTCAGGATGCTGCCCCAAATTTCATTAACCTCAAGCACCAAGTGTGTGCTACAGTTGTAATATCCAGTACATATTCATTTTGTACAAAAAGCCGTTTTATATAAACAGTGTATGAAAGTTGACTTCTTTACCCCCAGTTGCACATGATCGGTGAAGGGGGCCGTGGTGCCATTCTGGAGATGACCCTGGCCAAAGTCCTCTACACCAGCAGTAAGTATTGACTTAGAACAACTTGATTCTGTCACTGGGTTCTATAGCCTAGAGCAAGGGACTTGAGGTTCATGCCCTAGCTTGTCAGCTTCCACATTTGTGTTGAAAGAATAGATGGGTGAGAATTACGAAGGTGCTTGGAGCAGACCTGCTTTCAAACTGCTTGCTCCAACTCCATGTTCAGTCACATCATCAGCCTCCATAGTTCTGTCTGTAAAATGGAGATTGTAATGGTGCTAGCCTGGTGAGGTGGTTGTGAGGGTTCCTTGAAAATGTGTGATGCCTTCCCTGGGCTTCACACAACACTGGTAAGGCCTGCTGCCCCCATTACCCTCAGCACCATCCTCTTAAGAGAACAGTATGTACCTTTTCTGTTTTTGTGTTTTTAAAGACAAGGCCTCACTATGTAGCTCTAGCTGGCCTGGAACTTACTGTGTAGACCAGGCGGCCTCAAAGTCACAGGGAGCCTGCCTCTGCCTTCTGAGTGTTGAGATTAAGGGTGTGCACCACCACACCTGCAAAATATATTTGAGTAATCACTTTAAGGAAGTCTTTTGCAACATCCAGTTGTCCTTACATATGCATGAAATACTCTAAACATCTCTATTTATTGATGTGGTATTTGCAATGCTTTTCTTATATATGGATAAATGTCATCTCATGAGTTTTTTATTGGTGGGTGCTAGGGATTGAGTCTGGTGTATCTGTGCTGATTGTGTACTCAAATACTGAGAAACACCTCTGCCCGCCCCCCCCCCACCCAAGAATAGTTTTTAAGTTGTGAAAGTTCTGGGCCAGCCAGCACTACATGATCAAACTCTGGTATTGTTTTGAAGAGTTTGGGGCTCTTTGAGCTTTGTGTCCTCTACAGCTGTCAGATGTACTACAGAGTGTTTATGCCCACTGTTTTATTCACAAGTCTTATGAAGTGTCCTTTTGGGATGCCTGAAAGGTCTCATTCTGTGAGCATCGGATTTCTACTGTGACAATATACAGTTTAGCGGTCTGAAAATCAAAACTCCAGGGTGGTCTAAAGCTTTTCGAATGCTCTTATAACACAACAAATGGAAAATTTTATTGACCTCATTTGATGGGGCACAGTCAAAATGCAGGTACACTAAAAGTGGTATAAAAAGGGGGCTGGAGAGATGGTTCAGCTGTTAAGGGCACTGGCTGCTCTTCCAGAGGTCCTGAGTTCAATTCCCAGCACCCACATGGTGGCTCACAACCATCTGTAGTGAGATCTGCTGCCCTCTTCTGGCATGCAGGCAGGATACTGTACACATATAATAAATAAGTCTAAAAAAAAGATTTATTGAAAAAAAAAGTGGCATAAAAAGTTACCTTTGGGTGAAAGGAATATATGAAATAAATGGATAATGTGGTTAGACTTAAGTCACTTCAATATTCTTCTTTATGTATATGTAAATATTCCAGAATCTGACAAAAATCCCAAATCTGAAGCATGTCTGGTTCAAACATTCAGATAAAGGACACTCTGCTTGTACCCTCATCTCCCTGCTCTGTTTCCGGACCACTCAGGCAGAATAGCACTGAAGTATTGCTAAAATTCCTTTGGACATAAATGACACATTGTTCTTAACATTTTGATTTTTTAGAAACAACTCAGATTATTGGCATGAGTGCAACATTAAACAACGTTGAGGACCTCCAGGAGTTCCTTCAAGCCGAGTATTACACCAGTCAGTTCAGACCAGTAGGTACCCAAAGTTCGCACAGTACTGGTTAGTATGTATTCACCTTAGAAGTAAGGGTGGCAGGCGGGATGGAGTTGGGCAGTGGTGGCACACACCTTTAATCCCAGCACTCAGCCTTGTATTTGTGGTGCCTGTGGAGACCAGAAAAGGACATCGGGTCCCCTGGAGCAGGAGTTACAGGCGGTTGTGAGCTGTTGTGGGTGCTGAGAACTGAACTCCGGGAGAGCAGCAAGAACTCTTAACCCCTGAGCCGTCTCTCCAGCCCCTCATTCCAACTTCTTACAACAAATACAGAAGGATCTGGTTTCCTTTGGAATGGGTACTATTTCATTCAAAAGTAATTTTTCAAGAATCTTAATTCCTGCTTTTATGTAAAGGAAAAAAGAGGCAAAGCCAGAACTTTTAAGTTGAAGCATGTCTACAGATCCTAGAAAAGCTGAGGTCTTTGTGTAGGTGTCCTTGTTAAAAAAATTATTAAATTTCAAACTATACATTTGATATGAATCGCACGTATTTCCATTTAATTCAAGGTTGAACTAAAAGAATACCTGAAAGTAAACGACACAATCTACGAGGTGGACAGCAGAGCTGCGGATGGCATGACCTTCTCACGTCTCCTCAATTATAAGGTATGGCGGTTTGGAACCCTTGAGTCCCGGCTCCCTGCTTTGTGCCCAGGTGTGCGGGGCACTGCAGCAGGTTCACGTGGGTCTGGGGGGGGTGTATGGGGGAGGGGGAGGGACTCGATTTGTCATGGATGGCAGCTGCCGCTTGAGTGCACCTGGTTTCCTCTTGTTTTGTTTGCAGGGCTGGCGATCAAGCCAGGGCCTCTCCTGCACATACAAGGCACACACGACTGCTGCGCTACACCTAGGTCCAGTTTGAGCATTCGCTCATACCGGGCTTCTTCCTCGGGCGTGTGTCTGTGAAGCTGGGTATTTTAGAGTTGCTGTATGCGATACTGTGAAAACCAGTAGGGCCGGGCGGTGGTGGCGCACGCCTTTAATCCCAGCACTCGGGAGGCAGAGCCAGGCGGATCTCTGTGAGTTCGAGGCCAGCCTGGGCTACC